ACAGTGAAGGTAATCAAGCACTTGTCCTCCAAATCCTAGATTGGTGCCTACTTGCTAGAACACACTTTTGTGTTCATCTGGGCCAGATAATATACTTTTCTTCTACGACAACTCCTGGCAGAATTCCCTGTTCACCACAAGCTTTTCCAAGTCCCTCAGTGTGTGAGCCTGAGGAAAAGGATGGTATGGTGAGAATAAACTTTTTCCTTGCCTGCCCTGAGAATGACATTGCCTTCTTGCAGATTGGTTTGAGAACAGTGCTAGAACTGCCAATACCTCCAGTAAAACTGGAGGCAGGGGAGAACTGGGCCTCTTTGGTTTTTTCTTTCTTCCTAGTTCTCATCCTGGTCTTTGGGATTAATTAGTGTTAATAGTAAGATTATGGCTACCCTAGTGGCCGCACAATAAGGTTAATTTCCAAGACCTGTGCAGCCAAAACCTACTCATACAGACTTCTCCTCGTGGCAGCAGGCACTGATTTTCCACCTGTATTTGTAGGAGCAACATGCTTAAGCAAAGGGTTGCCTATAACCAACCCAAGTTGTGATGCAGCTGCAGCAGCCAAAATGAACAAGTTGTTTCTAGCAGGATTTCTTGACTACATGGATTAGTGATCTACCCCAATTTACAACTGTTATTTAAAAATGTGCTCTAGGCCCTGCTTATTCCTGCTTTTTATCCATATTTTCATTTATCCCAGTCCCGTAGTTTCCTGGTTAGAGTGGCTGTACAGAGAGGACCAAGGGAGTGCCCATGACCCTGGTTGGGCCCATCTGTTCTCCCAGGGCATCATTCAGTCAAAGCCCGTTTGGCTGCAGCTGTGGGGACACTGTGCTTCGGCCCAGTCTTTACCTGAATTAGGAGAAAGTGCTGTCAGTGCCTTCCTTCCCCTGCTCTGGTTTTGAGACAAGCAGTGCCCATCCACCCACACCAGAGAGCCCTGAACCTCGAACAGCGTCAAAGCCCTCTCTATGCTCCTCTGACTGCAGCACAAACTGTTTGTCTGAGCAGCATTAAACCCTGATGTACATGTTTTAGTTTTACAGTTTGAGCATCATTTTAGTCAAAATGTGTCAGTTCTAAGTGGGGCATTTGGGAACATGCCATGACTGTATTTATTCCCCCAGTCCTATATTATCCTGTGCAGTGTTGTAGCTGCCAAAACCACACGCTCATGTTGGCATGAAACAATTATCCTGGTTTATATAGAGCAGGCTTGGCAATAGTCTATCTCGATGAACAGTTGTAGTGCTGAAGATTCAGAGTCATCTTTTCCTCACCAAGCAACAGACCAAATTTCTTTCAGCTGGATTCATGGTTTTAAAAACTAAAAGGAGTAGAAGGCAAGTATGAGGAGGAGGGTGTAAGTGAGGTACCTGTAAGGTCTGGAAGGAAATGAGAATGAGATAGAGAGAAAAAAAAAAAGAGTATTTAAGATACAAGCTAGTAATTTTGTTTCTAAGCCCATGTGAAATTATAAGTAATGTTTACTGTTGCCAGTTGGTGAACACAGAGATGTGTGGTTTTTACTTGCATGCAAAGCTATTGGTTGTGGGTGAAATACTAAGACAAAAACATTCAATCTCTGGTGTGGGTATTCCACCAAAAATAAACCCAAACAAACACTGACTTATTATGAAAGCACTTATTTTCTGGAAACAAACATTCAGTTGCTGCTGCTATTTGTGAACTCTAGAACTGTTAAAACCTCCTGTGTAACTTGCCTGAAACAATAATACTTTATTTTAGAAAGTTATGCAAATGTCTCTGAAACTTAAGAACCAGTGTTTATAGTTTTCATAAAAATGTAGTGTATGGTGTAAACTTACAGGGATATTGATCAGTGATAACTGTTGCTTCCTAAGGTCTTGTTATTCTGGAAGGCCAGACACTATCACTACTTGAAATTTTCCAAATTGTTTCCACTGTGAGCAAATTCAGTCTTGATGTGAGTCACATCTGCTGAAAAGTAAATAGCAGTCGCTTGTACTTTACACCAGCATCAAATTTCACCTACAATTTCAAATTTTAAAAATCACCTTAAATCACAGGATTTGGGTAATTTTGCAAAAGTGACTTTAAATCCAGAAGCACCCAACAGGAAATACTGAAATAAAAGCATTCAGCTTTAGCCGTTTCTGGTGGAAACAGAGACATTTGCTCTCAGATATGAATGTCTGTAGAACAAAAAAAAGTCTCTATGAGGTTTTCCACACATGGACAAAGAAGCAGCGCTCACGTGGAACTGCAGTTTCTCGCCCAGGGAGCAGGGGTGGGTGGGGAGTGGAGAGCAGGGGGCTGGGCTGAGCTGCCGGGGTGTCCCAAGGATTACTTGCATGTTTAGCGCCGCAGCTGTGGCTGCACAGCACAGGGGTGTCAGTCACTCCACCACTCCTGTCGGCTCCCAGTCCTTCAGAGCCCAAGCTGTTCCAGCCGTTCCATCGCTCTGGCCGGCACTGATGGATTAATGGGAGGAAATGTTTATAGAAAGGTTCAGGTTTCCTAAGTGAGTGGAATGAAATCCCCCTCAGCAATGATCAGCAAGCTCATGTCATGGAGCAGTTTGAAGCAGCCTGACTGGCAGGAATGCAAAGGTCTTTTCAAAAAAGAAACTTGACAAGTGGATGATTCTGTGGAGCAGCGAGAGGTGTTTTCAGATAAAAGACGTGGCTTTTCTGGAGAAGGTAGCATGAATGGGGCTAGCTCTTAAAAGAACTTTTAAATCGGTAGTTCGTACTCTGTAAATGTAAAAGGTTAAGTTTGAGGGCACGGTGTCCAAATAAAACAGTGCCCTCAAAGTGCACCTCTTACATACTATGCTTAGTAAATGAAACCATATTGCTGTGCAGTCACAGCTACTATGATGGCATCTAGCTAAGGCACCGTAGATCTCTCTTCTGTAACTCAAATTTTAGTATAAGCATAGTGTAAGTTAGAGGAAGGGTGATGAACCCCGTAAGGAGGCTGAAATCATTGTGTGTACAGCTCTGGTTGTTGGGGCACTTTCCATGATTCTGGCAACACAGCTCGAGATCTAAACATTCATTTCAGTTTAAAAAATTAAGTCAAATAGACCATTCCATTGAAGCTATCAGCTTTCAGATGACTGTGATAAGAAAGAATGTAGGCTTCAGGCTAGCTATTAAGATTAAAGTAAAATTCACCTGAACAAAACTGCAGCTAGGGAAGGTGCTGTATGGGGGGGTGGGGGGAAAGGGGGGGGAAGCCAGTTCAAGACATTGCTCTTTGAAAGCCACTGAAAAGAACCTAGTCCTTAGTGTTTCCCTAGGACGCTCCTCTAGTCAAAGTGAGGATTTAATTTACAGCACTTACAGCACCCTCCAGTTCTCAATCTCGAAGTCCCTTTGGAATGGGAAGAGAGCATTATCCTTAATTTCTAGATAAGGAACTGGTTTATCAGCTTGCCCTCAGCAAGAGGCAGAGCCTGAAAGAAAACTTGGCTAGGATGCAAGTACCTCAAGTGAGGGCAGACATCTGAAACCAGCTGTCTCAAAATGTGCTCTCCTATTGTGAGGGGCTGCTAATCAGAAAAGCTGGTTTGAAGTCACAGCTGAGTTTCTGGTCAATGCATTCACCAAAAAGTCTCTTGCATCTCCCATAACAAAGTGGGGGTGAAAACACCACTCACAGGGCTTCCCCCCATTCTCAAACCTGCCAAGTGTCCAAAGACTGAAAGAACTTTATTAGAACCTTTGTATTAAAAATTATTTATTTAGTGATCTGTACATGGGGTGAAGCAGGGCCTCATACAGACCTTCAAAAAAATCAAGTAAAAACATAAATACATATTTTCTTACAAAAATGAGATTTACAAAATATACATACTGTACTTGTCTTACACACTTTTTTTTTTTTTCTCTTCCACGTGCACATTATAAGAGACAAAACCCCAAGCCCTGCAAGTCTGAAATCAGATCTACTGAAGGATTTGGCTGATGGGCCCATTCCTGATGCCCAGACTGCTGGTACACCCTCAGACAGCAGCAGTCTGTTCCCCCTCACCCTGAACAGGTTTTTTTCTTTTTTAAGTTTCGTTCCAGACACTTTTCCCCCCAAAAAAACATGAAGAGCAGCTATAGGTTGGAGACTTGCTAAAAATCCAGAATTTCCTATTTTGTCCTTAGACAAGAATATACACACACACATATATACTGATAAAAACAACCCTTCAGTGAATATAAAGTAGTATGTAAAAAATAAAATATGAACAAAACTTAAAAATTTTCAGAATAGAAAAATCTGTCACATTTCAAAAAGAAAACAATGAACTTGTTGATTAATTTCTGAATGTTTTTCCTTCCAAAGAGCGATCACTGGAAACTTAGCCAGCTGCATTTTAGCCGAAATTAGAAGGCTCCTCACTTGCAGAAACTGCTTTTTAAACCCCAGCCCCCTCTTGAACCAGGAGTCATTGCCATGCAGCTCAGGGAACCTGAGGAGCAGGCAAAGGGTCCATCGTGAGCCAAAAAGATTCCTCCCGTCCCCAGAATCCGGCTGTGTATTGACTTTGTCTGCAGTGACCTCACTGCAAAGCAGGAGAGAAAGCAGGTTTATGGGAAGGGTAGAAAAAAAAATCCCATCTTTACGTTACATATTTTAATGGCTCTTGTTTTGGCAGGTGCTCTCGGTTAAGCTCTTCTTGCCCTCTAAATCTTGCGTTTCCTTCAGCTTAGAAAAGCGACCCATATTGAACGGTAGGAAAACATCCTGCCTCCTCCTTTTTTCATAAAAGGAATGTTTATTTCTGTGAGCTCCTCAGATCCAAGGGTGAACCTCAACGACTTCTTTTTGTCAGTTTGCCCATAAAAACCGATCCCATGCTTATGCCTTTCTACATAGAAAACACTTTTGTTTCCCCCTTTGTCTCCTAGAACAAAGGCAAGGGGGAAAAGCCTTCTGCTGAAAAGCAACAAGTCATTTCTTTTCAGGGTGTGGAATAGCAACCCCCTCCTTCCCCACAGCAGCAAGAACAACAGATGGAGGGCCAAGTTTTTACTTTAAAACAATTACAACAGGTATCAGTGAGGTAAAAAGGAACTTGTGAGCTGACAGAACAGAGGCATCTCCCCGGCACACGGTCGGGCTGTAGCCGGCTGTGCAGTACTCACGTGATGGCTCCGCCGAGCTGGAAGGAGCAGGCAGCGAGTCGGGCTCGGGAGTTACCCTGCCCGCGCTGCAGTTTGGCCCCGGCAACTCAGGGATTATTGGGCTCCCTCTCGGCAGCGGTAGCTCAACAGATCTGGCTTCCCCTCCCTCTTGTCCAAAGCAAGGCAGGATGATTTTAGTTGGGTTGGAGTTTTTTTTCCTGGACAGGGGTAGCAAGGGGTAGAGAGAAGTAGAGGGACTTCTGGAATGAACGACTCTCCCATCCCACCAGTGGCCTCTTTTTCAGTCCTCTTCCACTTAGCTGGGCCTAAGCACCACTGAACACAGTTTGACTGATCCTTTATGCAATAATTATATCTTTTGTTCAAACCTTCTGTGAGGAAGAAAAAGTTTGGAATTGCCTCCCTTCCTCCCTCTTCAGGGAACCATTGCCCTGCCCTTCTGCCGAGTATCTGTCTCCTCTGCATGTGTGCATGCGTGAGTGTGTGTGTGCCAGAGGGGACAGGGGGTCTCATACTGCTGTCTCGCCTTTGCTGCCGGTGCTGAGTCTGTGGTAGAAGCGTCGCCAGGACTGAAGGGTTTTGCCAGACCAGATCCAGAAGCCAGTCGTGATCCCAACAATCATGGTCATGAGGTACTTGATCATGAAGACGGTGAAGTCTGGGCTCATAGGGGCAAAGTGGCTGGGACAGGGCACGGCGTACGTTTTGCAGGTCTGGAGGAGCCACGTCTTCTCCCAGGTGCCACGGAAGGCCTGCTCGTAGAAGTAGCATGCCAGGACAATGGTGGCAGGCACCGTGTAGAGGACACTGAAGACACCAATGCGCACCATCAGCTTCTCCAGCTTCTCCGTCTTGGTGCCATCGTGCTTCATGATGGTGCGGATGCGAAACAAGGACACAAAGCCAGCCAGCAGGAAGGAAGTGCCAATGAAGAGATACACAAACAAGGGCGCCAGCACAAAGCCCCTCAGTGAGTCCACACTGTAGATACCTACGTAACACACCCCACTGAGTACATCCCCATCCACCTGCCCCATGGCCAAGATGGTGATGGTTTTGACAGCAGGCACAGCCCAGGCAGCCAGGTGGAAATACTGGGAGTTGGCCTCGATGGCCTCGTGGCCCCACTTCATGCCTGCAGCCAGGAACCAGGTGAGGGACAGGATGACCCACCAGATAGAGCTGGCCATGCCGAAGAAGTAGAGGATCATGAAGAGAATGGTGCAGCCTTCTTTCTTGGTGCCTTGGGCCACAGTGCGGTAGCCATCCTCGGAGAAGCGCTCCAGACACACCACCCGCTCCTCCAGCAGGAAGCCCGCTGCGTAGGCCACTGCCACCATGAAATAGCAGCCCGAGAGGAAGATGATGGGCCGCTCCGGGTAGCTGAAACGGCGCATGTCTACCAGATAGGTGAGCACGGTGAAGAGGGTGGAGGCGCAGCAGAGCACGGACCACACACCCACCCACAGCCGGGCAAATCGCACCTCCGCCTCCTTGAAGTACATGAGCCCGTTGGGCCGGGCCGGCTCACAGGGGGCACCGCAGTCCCGCTCCCCCAGGAACCGGTAGCCCAAGTAAGAGGGCACTTTGAGCTGCCGCGGGCAGGAGAAGGAGAAGCCAGAGGGCGGCTGTGGCGGGGTGGGAAAGTCAGGGAGGTAGCCAGCCGTGGGGTGGGCAGTGGCCCCCCGGCCCGCCGCACCGCCAGGCCCTGGTGGGGCATCTGACGTGTTCTGCCCCACGCAGATCTCACCCGCACCGTGGACAGGGAAGTTCTCGCAGCGGAGCCTCTCTGGCCACTGGAAGCCGAACTTGTTCATGAGCGCCTCGCAGCCCTGCCGGGCCCGCTCGCAGAGGGAGCGGCAGGGCGGGATGGCCTGCTCCAGCACGGTGCACACCGGCGCGTACATGGAGCAGAGGAAGAACTTGAGCTCGGGCGAACACTGCACCTTGACCAGCGGGTAGAACTGGTGCACCTCCAGCCCCGCGTCCTCCTGGTTGGTGTGGCCCAGCAGGTTGGGCAGGATGGTCTGGTTGTAGGCGATATCCGTGCAGAGCGGGATGGAGATGGGTTGGCAGAAACCGTGGTCCGGCACGGAGATGCCCTTCTCGCCGTGGTACTGCTGCGATGCCGCGCCCGCGGGGGTCCCGAGCAGGGCGACCAGCAGGGCGGCCAGTCCCAGCCAGGGGCAGCTGGCGGCAGCCGCTCCGCCGCATCCTCCTCCGGCTCTCATCGCCGGGGCGGCCGGGGTCGCGGAGAGCCTCAGGAAATCCTTCAGAGGCGGCCGGCGCGACGCCCCAGGGGCATCAGCGCCCGGAGGGCGGCGGCGGGGCAGGGGCGCGGCGGGAGGAACGCGGCTCCGCGCCGAACCTCCTCGACTTTCTTCCTCGACTCCGGCGGCGCTGGCAGCGCGGCGGCGGCGCTTCCCTCGGCGAAACTTTCCGGAGCTGCTCTCCACGGAGAAGGCGGCAGCGAGGCAGGAGACGGCTCCGCGCAGGGTCCCGCGGCGAGGCGGAGGCGCTGCTCCCTGCCCGGCTGCGCGGCCCCGGCGCCGGCGATTTAGGTTACGGCTAAACGGATTATTACCGCGCCCGGCTGAGCCGTGTATTTTACTCCGGGGCTTAAATAACTTTTTAAATCCAATTACTGCGCGATCCTCCCCGCGGCTCGGCTGGGCTCCGCTCCCGACGGCCGCCGCTGCGGTCTGTGCGTGCGGGGCAGAGCCGTGCGCCTCCCGCCTCGCTCCGATCCCGATCCCGCTCCGCCGCTCCCGGCTCACTAAAAGGCCCCGGCGCGCCGGCCCCGCCCCCCCCGCCGGCCCCATTCACAAACCGCGCCGGGGGCGGGGCCGCGCGCGCCCACCCGCCAATCGCTGCGCGAGGGGCGGGGCCAGGGGAGGGGAAGGGAGGGGGAGGAGCGCGCGCCAAGGGGGAAAAAAGTTGGGAACAACTTTTTCCCATCCCCGCCGGGCCGGGCCGGGAGGAGCCGCCCGCGGCCCCCACCCCCCGCGCTGCAGGGCACAGCCGGGAAGGCGGAGCCGGGGGGGGCCCAGGCAGCTCGCTCAGGGTGGCCTGATGAAACTAAAATTAACTGGCTGCTCTCTGAGCAGGCTTTGAAAATGCGAACAGCTGCCTGTGCCCAGAGTTATTAAAAAAGAAGAAAAAGAAAAAACGGGGAATTAAAAACCACAGCGTCCGGGTACATTTGCAGAATGAGCTTATTGCGTAGTTGGGATGTTCGTGTTTGTGCGCCATCGCCTCCCCCAGCTTGGGGGGGTTTGATTTGTTATCACAGCATGACTGTTGCTTTTTGCTAGCAGAATAAATGCTTTATTCATGCAGATCTAAGCCCTAGCGTAGCTGGGGGAAGGCAGCTTTTTTTGAAACGTCCAGTGTTACCTAAGCAGAGGGGAGAAATTTTAAATCCCCATCTACACTGCTGCAACTCCTTAAGAGACTTGAAGAAGTCTGTATAAAACCAGGAATTCCTCTGTGAAAGCACCCAACCTGCCCTCAAGAGAGAAAATGGCATAGGTCGGGAGAGGACTGGTACTGGCCTACCAGGTGATGCTGAGCAGATTTAGAGCTGAGCAGATCTAGAGCTAGACTGCCATACGTTGGCTGAGGACAGAAGTGTGGGGTTTGCAGCACAGCCGTGTTTTGAGGTGCACTGCAGAAACACGGGGAGCAGGGACCATCCAGCCAAACACAGGCAGAGCATGTCTCCAGCAGCACAGAATGGGGGTGCTTGACAAAAGCCCTACAACAAGGCCTGCTTTTCCTTCACACTGGCCTGTGAGAGCCTGTGCTCAAAGACAGGCTCCGACCAAGTGTTATTCAACTCACCCCATCCCTCCCTTTGAGGATAGAGGTCCTCTTGAACGGTATTACTCGGATTCTTTTACTCCTTTGCTCAGGACTGTGCTCCCATTAGGAGCTAAGCAAATACATCAGTCTGTACCTTCCTCCAGGGCAGTTCAAGAGAGCAGGGTTTGGCTCAGGGAACTCCAACAGCAATTGTTGGACAAATGTTTCCCATATCCTCTCCTGGTCGTGAACAATGTGTCCCCATGCCACTCAGACCACGGAACTGCAGCTTTTGCTACATTTGTTTAAAGAAGTTGACAGTTATAAACATGCTTACTAAAATAAGTTTACTCCTCTTTAAGTGGACATGTTTTTAAAAATAATACTGTGCATATAAAAAAATATGGGAAGGGCTAGCTAGTTATGGCTGCAAAGGATGTTTCTGGAAAAGAAATAAGTATTTTCTTCGTTCTCAGTTATAGTTGTTTGAGAGTGCCTTAGAGGAACTTCAGTTTTTCAATTTGTTAAGGCTTGTTGTCTGAAATTCCTTACTTTTCTACACCCCTAGTGACTAAGTGGGTTTTTGTGATACTCTTCACCTAAATAACCACCCATGGTACAAACTTACATGAACTTGTCTACTCTATTGTTTGTTCCTTGGCTGCTAGTAACTTTCAAAAATATTATTCTTTCCAGTTGCTTTTTTTTGGTTGCTGGTTGGTTGGTTGTGGTGGTTTTGTTTTTTGTGGTTTTGGTTTTTTTTTTTTTTTTTTTTTTTTTTTTTTTTTTTTTTTTTTTTTTTTTTTTTTTTTTTTTTTTTTTTTGGGGGGGGGAGGTTGGCTATTGTGTTTTTTTCCCCCTGTCTTTCTGTAAAGCTCCGTGAGCTGTTGAGTCACCTATCTGTAATAATCAACTTAAAGCCTCTATTTTTCGCTTTGGCTTATATGGCTGACTTCATCTGCAAAGCATTTTGTGATATTCACTATGAAAAACATTGGATGAAAGGAGATGTTTCACTGGCAGGCAAGGACAATGCAGACAAAGTAAAGCAACCACAAACTTTCTGCCCCATGCTTTGCTCCTTCTGATTTCTGTATGTAAAGAAACTGGTTCAGAGCTAGCAAAATTGTACTGCAAGAAGCTGTCTTCCAGCAACAGGGAGACAGTGACAGAAACTATTCAGGGTAAGGAATGTCAAATCAAGTAGCAAGACTTTAACTGGGTATTTATTTACAAGACAGGGCAGATGGCATCAGTGGCTCCCCCTGTTTTCTACTGGTCCCATTTGTTAGAGTCATTCATCCAAATCATGGCATGAACAAAAAGGAGACTGGGATCTCTGATCCAGGCTATAAAAGCTGGGTGACTCCTTTGCACTTATGGACATAATGTAGAATCAGAGTGAAGCCAAAGGGGAAAAAAAAAAACAAAAACAAAAAACCCCAGAAGGGTAGGCAGAAAGGAAGAAGGATTATGTCCTAGATTATTTCTTAGGGAGATAAGAAGAGAGTAAACTTACCACATGGAATGATGCTGCTAGGCCATCCCAGATGGCAGGAATGTGCAACAGGATTTACTAAGATGGATGAAGAAAGTCTCTTGGGCACGTTACCAAATTCCAAGGTTTTGTTTTGTTTTTTTTTTTTTTTATTTAGACCCACTCGGAGATGGGAAACAATCACTGAGGGAGGCAATGGCAGTCTCAAAATGGCATACTGTGGTGTAAGAAAATCCCAGGCTTTTAAGCCAGTCTGAGACATTCTGACAGCTTTCAGGGGACATTAAAGAAAGAAAGAAAGAAAGAAAAAAGGGGGGAAAAAAAGCAGCATCAAAACTCCAAGATTCTGGAATGCAGGGTTACTCCAAAGCATCCAGAACATCTGTAAGCAGCATCAGCCACATTTCAAACAGCAGCCTGCAAAATTACTTAAATTTCCTCCCAACAGGAGGGATTCTCATCAGCACATAAGCACAGCAGCAGCCAACCTTAGCCAGGTTGTCAGTCACCCAGAAAAAACTGCTGCACAAGACTTTGCAGCATCTGAGAACTTCTCAATTGCAACCACACAGCAGTTCAGAAAGTTTTCTCTAAAAATCTCCCAACTGCTGGTATAGTGAGTATGCCACATGGCCTGCCAGCCATGAACCTTCACAAGCAAAGTCTTGGCAAGTCTGAGATTTTGGAATAAATGAACAGTCTCAGGTGTTGATACCAGCTCTGGAGGTGTCTAAGTAGACTACTGTGCATAGGGAGGAATTGTAAGGAACAATTATCTGTCCTTTTACTCATTTAAAAATAAATCCAGTCCAACTTCCAAGCTAAGTCAAGGTGAGGAGTGGCATCCCTACATGATATCTTTTTCTGCAGTTTTAAAGCCTCCTTAAATGGTGCCAATATAATTTTCCTTGTTTCCTATCCCATCTGATAGAAACCTCTTCCCATGGGGGGAGGGAAATCAAAACAAAACACCCCCTCCCCGCCCCACCACTTATTTTGAGTGCCCGAGGGAGAACATTTTCAGATTACCTGTTGCAAGCCCTCCTTACCCTCAGAAGAAAAAAGGCCATTGCTTCCCCCTTCTCCTTCCACCTGCAGACACTTGCTGGCCCTCACCTCACAGTGTCCTGCTAACCAGCTCTGCCCAAGTCCTGATACCATCCCCTGAACTGCGAGATTCGTCCCAGTTAATGATGGTAAAAAACTTCTATGACACTTTTAACCTCGACATTTTGAAGCCTACTTACATCCAGTCTTACATGATCAGACAGGCTGTTGAGCTAAGAACGTCAAAATTTGCGCTCCCTAAAGCTTAGTGGAGAAATGCCAGGAGCCCGGGGGGGAAATCATGCATTTGCCTATTTTGCGTAATGATTTGCATAATTAGAAATAAGTTCACATTATTATATCTGCTTGCATTTCTATCAGTCTGATAGATTACTCTCAATTGCATCTTGTTTGAGCTCACCAAAGGCATCCAGTCGTTCAGCAGAGAGGCAGGAGAGCCCGATATTTCACTGGCGGGGAGTGGGGAAGGCAAGGCCCTGCCCCCCACCACGGAGCGATTTGGAATTAGTTTGAAGATATGAGAAACCGATTGAAAAGAGCATATGGGGAGGGCATGGGTAACAAAAGGAAGGGGATACTGCTGGAGGGGATGTGGTTTCCCTCAGTGAGAAAGGTAAAAGCTGTGGATTTGTAAGACAATTATTAGTTTATAAAGTAGTATCCCAACAGATACAGGGAAGCAGCACTGTCCTCCACATTTAAGATCAAACTGGGGAAAACTTAAGGAAACATTCACAAAGATGAGCTATCAGGCCGATGATTGCCTTTATCTTGCAGATCCATGAATAAGAAAACAAAACCCGAAGTTGATCTGCTCATCCCCACTCAGCGATTCGGTGAGGACATCAGTTACATTTTAACCCTTGCATGACACTTTGAATTCCCCTGTTTCTTTAAAGTAGGTTTAATCTGCCTTCTCACAGTTTTAGGGTTGCAGAGGCCCTTTGGTAACATG